CTAGCCACTCCCCAACCAGGCCAGGGTCCGCCATGGTGACGTCAATCCAGCTTTTCCCCCTGGTGCTGCTGAAGGTGGCCAGAGAGGGAACTTTATTAACTACAACCAGTTTGGCTTCTATAGCCCAAAGCAATAAACTCTCCCCTTTCTCATCAGTTATGCCACCCCCCCATGCTTGATTTTTAGCATTGAAGTCCCCTGCCACCACTCTCCTGCCCCTGAGGTTTCTGACCCTCTCCTCAATCTTACTTAGCCACCTGTTTTCTCGCCCCACAGGCTCTTCATACACATTGACGAAGTACAGGTCAGTCCCCTCCAAGGTGCACACGATAAAGTTATCACTCGTAAGCTCGTTAATACTCAAACCCTTCAAGCACTCCTTGACCCATATCTCCACTTTTGCTCTAGCCCCATTCGAAAATTTCTCGTAACCATTCCAAACTTTCATCTTAACATACGGCTCTTGGAGCAACACTACGTCGATACTCCAGTCCTCCACCCTCTGTTTCATCAATTCCATCGCCTCCCTACCTCTTCATGCATTCCACTGCAGTACCCGTAGCTTCTCCTCATTCATTCCTATACCTTACATGCTCACGCTTCCTTTCAACCTTCAACTTGTACACTGGGCACTCTTTGTCCAGTGCAGAGTGCCTCCTTTCACTCGCCCTGTCCGTGAACTTCTTGCAGTTTGGGCAGTCAAGAATGTCTTTCTTATCACAGGTCTTCACCCCATGTCGTCCCCCGCATCTAGGACATAGGGGATCAATTTTGCAGTGGCTTGCCCTGTGACCATACCCGCTACAATTAAAGCACACGGTCAGGTCCAAGTACTCATCTACAAACATTCGGGTTAAGTTCAGATTGATTCTTCCAGTCAACATCAGATGTCGGAAAATGCCCGTGCGAACCTCAAGCACGACATTTTCCAACCTCTCATTCCTACATTTTCGCCTAAACAACACTTTCATTCGTTTGTCTTTCATCCCCTGCAATTCCTCATTCTCCAAGAACAGTGCCTCCAGCAGGTCCGCGTCCGACATCCCCACGTCTACCCCCGAGATTCGAACCTCCGGGTTCAGTTGGTGACCCGCCTTAACTGTCCCGAGGTTCTCCCTCTACAGGATAGCCCGGATCGCCTCCCTCTTGGCCTCGAAATCGACTACCACACTCACCCCTTCAGCTCTCATGAGGCGCATCGATTTCACCTCTCTTATTTTGTTCTTCAAAAGGGCGTCTTTCGCCCTCTTGAGTCGAGCTCTCTTGTCCTCGGCTGTATCTTTGTCATGGCATTTTACGTAAACTTCTAAGTCCTTAGTCTGAGGCGTGGGGAATTGAAATCCCTCACGTTTCTTGTCTTGTCTGTCCGGTGCTCGTGTCAGTTTAGTCATGTCTGCATATGTCTTCCTAGTCTTCTTCCCTTTCGCCACTTGCCACTTCCCTTCAGAGGCGGCAGCGACCTCAAGCTCGATGGATCCCTGATTTTGGGTTTCTACCCTAGGCCTACCGGTTCTTCCGAGCCCACTGGTCCCTGCCAGCTCTGCATCCACCCCTTTCACCACTCTTTCCCTGCGTCTCACACTCTCTCCCACCCTGTTTATCACCCTCTCTCTACAATCACTCGCTCCTCATGCACTCGCTCCTCACGCCTTCGCTGTGCTCCCTTGCGCTCCTCATTCCCCTTCTTTTTCATTCCCAAATCCTTGATTTCCTCCCTCAAAAATTCCAATGCCCCCCATACATCACCGAGCGCATTACATACACACCTCTCTCTCTCTCTTTCTTTAAATCCCTAATCATCTCTTTCGCCCCCACTAGCTCGCCCTGCATCACCCCCAGCCGGTGGGTCAGGCCCATAAACTCCCCCAGAAGTCCATTCAGGGACTGACCCACCTTCTGTTAGTCGCCCATGTTAAACCTAAGTTTTCACCCTACTACAGTGCTAGTGACCTCTACCACTTCCTTAACCAGGCTCCTTACCCTAGTCATCGCGTCCAGCTCTCTATGTTCGTCTTGATCCTTCTCAAATTGCTCCATCTATTCCGGTTGCTCGTTTTCTTCCTCGTTTTCCTGCTCCAAATGTTCATTCCTGCTCCTATCCATTTCCTCCACGCTTCTGCTCACCCCTCTTGTTCTTCTTCCCCTCGTGTCGCCTCGCACCCTCTCTGAATTTGGGGTGTCCATTACATTCAGGTCCATTGCTGGTTTAGATGCAGAGCATCTGTGTCTCCCTTCACTCACACACGTTTCTCCGGACCCGCTTCACCAACTTTCACTCACTCCGACTCGGTCACTCAACTCTATCTCGCAAAATACGCTCAGCTCCCGTTAACCAATGTCACCTCGTGGGTTAGGGACAGTGGGAATCTCTTTAATGCGATGTGTAGTTCAGGCGACTGGTTTAGAGTTACCTGGACGACTAAACAGACAAAATAAAATTACTGCGATATGGGAGGACACCTCAATTTATCCAGCCATAAAGTTGCAGTGTGCTGACGAAATGCTTCCACCATCTTGGATAATTATTCAAACTTTCAATGGCCTTTCTCTCAAGCGTTGAGAATGTTTCACCTACAACAAACAAAAACCAATTTTTCAGCTTCGTCTCATAAATAATAAACACACTGTAGTCCCCTAGACCTGTAATAAACCACACGTTGAAAAAAAAAGTAAACACTTTTTTCTTCTTATTGGGTGATGCCATTACTGTAAACAAATTTCATCCATTATTCGTGTGGTAAACTACGCGTTGCTTTTCCTTTTTACATCGAAATTTTTATGCTTAAAAAATGCCGAAAATATCACAAAAACGACATAGGCGCGATGATAGTGATACTGATTAGGAAAGAGAAAGGACAATCCGCCGGATAGTGAATCAGAAGGCGACTTAGACGTAAGGAACGTAGAACACCTGTCCACTTCTCGCAACGACCAAACTGAATCATCTGATGATACAGATAGATCTGACGTAGAAGGTAAACATCAAACCTATACTATTGTGTTCTTTTTTCAAGCCTATTGGTTTTATTTGTGAACATAAAGTCTAGCACAAAAAGGCAGTTTTTAGCTAGTGATAGCAATACTTGTGATAGTCAAATAGATACGGACAATCCCCCATTTTCTACCTGGAACCACCCAAAAAAAAAATTAAAAAAATTGCAACAAAAACAGGAAATCCCACAAAAATGTTTGCTAAAACCATAAGTTTACTGAATGAAGAAATTTTTGATTTTGGTAACTATCGTGCGCGTGCTTTTATTGGTATGTCGCAACCAACAATTGCCTCGATTACACCTGAAAATTGTAAGTAAAAATAAAATCACTTTTTAAAGCTTTAGCCACCTATAGCCTCAAACTTCTCAGACAACTGTTCTTGCTCCCTAATTTCATATGGCCATGTTATTGTCTTGTCCATTAGTTTGGTCATATATTGGAAGCAATTGGTTAACAAATTATAAACTGTCGAAAGGATTACATTAAATCTTTTAGAAATAGTAATAAATGTTTCTCCTTTATTCAAATACCACAGTATTATTTTGAGGTGAATTATTGAATTGGCAATCTCCCTTTATTTGATACTTCCATGGAAATTAATTAGATACCGATAATTCACGACAGAATGCATTTTGGAAATCTCTTCGGCGCGGCCAAGTTCTAGATTTTTTGAACTTTTTTTGGGATATACAGCTCGGGCAATACATTTACGCATGTATTGCCCGATCTTGACAGACCCATTTAATCCATGGTTCAGATACCTCCATTCCCGCCATACGGATAGAACAGTACTTTTCGCCAGATCGAAATAAATAGGGAATATGGTAACCTGCAATAGAAGTCCATCCGAATCTCCTCATAGATGTAAATTCATCAGTATTTTCAGGATCAGGTTCTTCTGATGGATCGAAAAACGTGCAACGTTATTCAAACGCTCATTTTTTACCGATGTGTTGATTTCTGCCGATTAAGGCCCGGTTATACAAACGAGGCTTGAGGCACAGTTTTGTAAAGCCTTGATCAGCTGTTTAACTTGGTTCGGAACTCATGATCCGTTGTGCAAGGAAAAATTGACCGTTGTTTAGTCGACCGTTGTTTAGTTAAAGGGCGTTAAGCCATTTTCACCAATTATTGTTTTGAGGTAAATTATTGAATTCGCAATCTCCCTTTATGTGATAATCCCATGGAAATTAATTAGATGCCGCTTGTGCTACCTTGGACGATTATCAAATTCAAACACAAAACACTATAATCTTTAACAATATAATTTTATTAACAATCTTCCAATAAATATGTAAAAACTCAACGAGTACAAATTAACATTAACATTAACAACCGTATATACACTCAAGGCGTTGGCTGATCGACTTTACCTGCATCGGGTTCGGGACCCCTTTTTCATGCTGATACTTTCAATATAGTGGACTGCATTAATGGTTAATTGAATAATAAAATAGTAGACTTTTAATTTTAATTAATTGTATTTTTACAATATATTTGTAAATTTCATCAAAAATAATATTATTATATTGCTACATGAAAAAAAAAAAAAGCGAAAAAGTGAAGTAAAGTAAAAGTCATTTTCTTGACATGACAAATGAAGACACAAGTGGATGAAGGTGTTATGTTACAAAATTATAATTTTGAGTTATTAAAGGTTAAAGTTTTTCCTATGTAATTTTTTTTTGTTTAAAAAAAATATCAAAGTTATGCGTTTACACATTAATGTTAGGTAGAAGAATTTTAGTGAACATAAGTAACAATGAAAAAATTAGAACTATGTCTTGAATTTAGAAAAAACATAGTACATAACACCTTCTTCCATTAATGAAAATTATAAAATGAACTCGATTTTTCTATTAAGAAGTCAGTTTTTATTACATAAACTAAATTAACAAACAAATCAAATAAGGATAATGTAAATTATTTATAACAAATGAAACTGGATTACAACAAAATAATTATTATCCCAATATCTGCTCGTAAAAGTAGCGATATTCTGGTTTTCAAAATTTTAGTTGATCTTTGAGGTTCTTTTTTTTTTCATCTGATATAGTACCATATTTTTCCCTAACTCTCTGGATTTCAACGTTTTGTGGTGGTTCTGTAATCTTTTTATTTTTTAGAATATTTACTTTTTTAAATGGTACTGTTTCATCGTATGATTCTTTATACAGATATGACCCATATTCTTCAACTCTGATCCATTTAATGCCATCTCTAAATCTTACTGTTTCATTTAGTTCATCTTTTTTTCTATTAATAAGTCGAAGATTATCAGGCAGGGCTGTTATGTTTCTAAAATGTTGTGTCATGTCAATAACTTTATTTTTTTTGCTGGCTTTTACAATGATGTCCCGATAAGTCTCCGGTACATACACTGTGTCATGCTTTCTCAACACTTTTTCTATTCTGCCAAAATCCCGATCAGAATCCAGATACGTGTGACCCACTTCAGGAAACTTGTGATCAATACAGCGAAAATATCCTTTTAGGATTAAATATTGATAAAGACAGACCATAGAAAAATTCTTGTTTTGGCCGGCGCAAGAATCAGACCAGATAAGCAAATGATTTTTGTCTCTAAGAGTTTCATCTATTTCGATGTAATACAATAAGGAACTACAGGTCTCAGAACTTCCTCTGTTAGCAATGTCTTCCGTCCAGGTACAGAAAGAAGCATTTTCTAGAGTTTTTGTAACTACATGAATCCCAAAGTTGTAAAACCACATTTGTCTCAAGTAGAACGCCTTTGAAGTAGTAATTTTTGGGAGTGGCATTGTTTGCTGCATGTCGATTGTAATATAAACAATATTGTCCAATGTCTTAGCTTTCTCTCTGTCCATTTTAAGTGCATTTATTGCTGCTATGTAGTTTTCTTTGTGTTCTTCTTTTGACTCACCGGTATCACATATGCTACACGTGTCACTTTTCGGGGACCCAAATGATAAATTAAACTTTGTTACAAATAGTTTTGAATATGAACTTTTTTTTACTCTAAATTTTTCAGGAAGTTTTTCTTGGTCGCATTCCTCCAGATAAAGCTGGTACATTTTACTTAGGTTTAATAATGGAGAAAGGTATTTTTTATTTGGATTTCGATTTCTGGAATAGTGTGACATCTCAGCGGGAAATTTATTTATATGTGCAATAACATGTTGCTTAACCTCATCATCAATTTTATGTGGTCTATTTAAGTGTCTTCCTCTCTGGTCTGGAGGAGGTGCTGATGCGCCACTGTTTAGTCTACTTTTAATGATGTCAATTTTCTTCCTACCTATTTGATATAGGCTACAAAGAGCTTCTTTACACACTTTTTCTATATTTCCATGTAATGTTACATAATATGTATATGATGCGCTTTTGTGTTTTCTACTATCTTTTCTCACCCTTTTAACATCGTGTTTATGGATAGATTTGAACAGTAAAGTATTTTTTGAATTAATGTCGAGACTATAAAATTCCTTTAATAAAATCATCCTGTCTTCCCTTGTAAATCGAGTGCTACAGTTAAGCCTACACTTTTCTCGACACAGAAGTTCTTCTTTTATTTGCTTTTCTGGAACAGGTATATTTTTATGAGATAAGTAAGATTCACCCTTTGATCTAGCTAGAGCACCCTTTCGTTTCTTCCAAGTGGGTGGAAAATATTTTCCCTTTCTTTTTCTACCATTTGCTTGAGTGCCAAGATTTATTACTTTATTATCAGGTGCAGTGTCAGTTTCAGTTAAATCCTCATTAAGAGGAGGCGTATTTTTGGGAGGTTTGTTAATCTTTGGTCTAATTGTTAGTTCTTCTATATCACTATTTGGATTTGAAGAGCTGCTGTATTCATTATCATTGGGAATATATTCCTCTTCACTTTCAATAAATGGTTCTGAATCCGTTTCTGAAAAAAACCGCAGTGCATACTGATTTTTTACAGCGTTTTCTATTTCTTACCATCACTTTGGTTTTCTGGGCTTAGCCCATAATGGGTAAATTCAGTAACAAAAGAGTGTTTTGTTACATCAGGATTACCATCAAAGAAATCGAGTTTGGTTGTCGGGGCTGATGATGTTGATGGTTGAAAATCTGGAATTGAATATACCAAAAATCAGATTTCTACTGAAATTTAACATTTTGCGTTCTAAATAATCTAGGTACACATCTAGATCAAGGGACCAATAGAACATGAAGTGAAATATACAAAAAAACTTACCACATTCATTTAAAGTAACAGAATCAGTCTTCTTGAGGTTAGATTTTTCAATAAATACACTTATTTTCTCTTTAACAATCACACTCTCCGTCATTTCTTTTTCTTTCAGTAAGGCTAACATTAGTTTGCCCCTGGAGCCCATATTATCACACTTTTAGTAGTCGGTTTCATATAAAAACAATCAAAAAACACTGTACGAAGTTTAACGTTTAACGAGCGTTTTATAAAATAAACTGACAATAATATCGATGAAGGGGTTATGTTTGCGACATACCACCTTCATCCATTCAAAAATATTCACGAATAAGTTTTGATTTATGAATGAAGGAGTTACCATACCATAACACCTTCTTCCGTGTTCTTTTAAAAAAATATGGTACATAACCCCTTCATTCATTTCTACACCTTCATTTATACTGAAGTTATAGGTATTTTAAGGGTGTCATATGAAAGTTAAGTACATAAAACCTTCATCCATCTATAAAAATTAATTTTTGAAAAAATGTTACATAACACCTTCATCCACTCGTGTCTTCAAATGTGAAAACGGTCGACAGACTGTTAGGCGTTTTCGAATCTCCGTAATGGTGAACCGAACCGACCGAACCAAACCGAATTTGTCCATAACTCCCGCCTTGACAGGTTGAATAACCGTCAAAAATAATATTTTGAGTAAGCTTTAAGTTCTGTTCGCTTGAGAAAAGTTTAATTGTCATTTGTGATTATCTTGTTGAAATGTTACGACATTGATTTTAACACAATTATTCTATGAACACAATCACCGCACTTCGTCTCAAAAACTAGCGCTTGCTAGTGGTAATGGATAAATTTTTGATACACCGCGTTTAAAGACTCCATGCATAGTTTTTATTGTAGCCACGCGCACAACTTGATCGCTGCCAGGGTGATCTCCAGGACTCTTCCTAACTGCCATTTACATGGTGGAAGATTGTCGTTCCTCACAACAACCAAATCGTTGACTTCAATGCTACCAGTTGAACTTTTCCATTTGTTTTTTCGTTGAAGCTGGCTTAAATAGAGTTTCGACCATTGCTTCCAAAATCCATGGATCAATTGCTGGATGAGTTGAAATCTTGACAATTGGTTTATTTTGATCCTCTCTTCAAAATATGGATCGGGTACCGTGTTCATTGATCGTCCAATCAAAAAATGGGATGGAGACAAGGGTTCATAATCGTTGGGGTCGGAGGAAATAGCGTAGAGAGGTCGAGAATTTAAAGTAGCTTCTACCTGCACTAAAAATGTTACAAATTCCTCGTACGTTAAAACGGTTTCCCCGATAACGCGTGATAAATGAAATTTTACCCCTTTTATGTTGCTTTCCCACAAACCGCCAAAGTTGGGTGTGTTGGGTGGGATGAAATGCCAATTGATACCTTGACTCGCGAGAGAACTTACTATCAAATCATGAGAGTTCTTGAGACATTGGTAAAGTTCTTTAAGTTCCCTTTGTGCGCCCACAAAATTTGAACCATTATCTGAATAAATTTCAGTCGGTTTTCCCCTCCTTGACACAAACCTGCGCAAGCCTGCTAAAAAGGCTTCGGTGGTGAGGGAACTAATTAATTCTAAGTGTACACATTTGGTGGCAAAACATATAAATAGGCAAATGTATGCTTTGTATGTCTTGCTACCGCGACCCTTTCTGTCTTTGAGTATAACTGGACCTGCATAATCTAACCCAGTGATCGAAAATATTGGTGAAACATTTACGCGAGGTTCTGGCAAATCCGCCATGATCATATTCACGGGTTTGGGTTTAAATCTAAAACACCTAATACAATTCTTAACAGTGTCTTTTGCTAACGACATTCCATGAATGACCCAAAATTGTTGTCTCACACTGGCTAACAGAAGCTGTGGACCAGCGTGCTGTAACTGTTTGTGCTCAAAAACAAATATTAATTTGGAAAAGGTGTGCTTTTTGTCAAGTAAAAGTGGATGTTTTCCTTCATAACCCAAAGAAGACTTCTTGAGGCGTCCCCCCACCCGCAATAGATTGTTTTTGTCCAAAAATGGTGTAAGTGACAGCAACCTGTTACTGGAAGGTAGAGGTTTTTGGTTTTTTAATAAGGAAATCTCGCTAGAAAAACATTCTTCTTGTGCCAATTTAACCAAAAATAGCTTAGCATCATAATACTCTATACTAGAAATAGGACCGACAGTAAAACTTGCACCTTTTGAACCTATTTTTGATCTCATAATAGCAGTAAATCGATGACAATATGCTATTACTCTAATGAGTTTGTCTAACTTGGAAATTCTTTTAAAAATATCACACAAATGGTTTTGTGTTGATGAAATTGAAGCAAGAACTTTTGTATTTTTCTTGATTTCAGGAATCTTCGAAATTGTTGGTAAATCACGAAATTTGGGTTTTTCAAATTCGGTAGACAAAAAGGAAGGTCCTTGGAACCACAAATCGCATTTCTTTAATTGATCTGGCATAATACCCCTAGTGCCATAATCCGCTGGGTTGTCTAAGGTATGAACATAATTCCAGTTTTCTATGCTTGATAATCTTTGTATTTCCGCGACTCTGTTGCCGACAAAAACTTGCAAATTACTTGGACTATTATACAACCAATGCAAAACAATTTGCGAATCACACCAGTAAAATGAATTAAATTTAAATGTGACAGAATCTTTTACAGCTTTCATTAAATGGACCAAAAGTAAACAACCACATAGTTCCAATCTTGGACCTGTTAGAATTTTGATGGGTGCCACTTTGGTTTTAGCGCAGAGCATCTTCACGCTAATGTTACCAAGAGAATCTATGCATCTGACATATATAACTGCACAATATGCATGTATCGACGCATCACTGAATCCGTGCAGCTCAATGGAAACTGGGTTACTAACTAGTGCAAAACGAGGTATCTGTACATGGTTCAAAATGAAAAACTCTCCATTTTTCACCTAATTCTGCAGGAACTTCTGAGTCCCAATCAAGCTTCAACGACCACAACCTTTGGTTCATAATTTTTGCCAAAATTGTACAGCAACTAGCTAATCGTAAGGGATCATAAAGTTTTGCAATTGAGGACAACATTAATCGTTTGGTTAAAACATTTGGAAAATCAACGACTTCCACACTAAAACTAAAAACATCAGATTTGCTAAACCATTTTACTCCTAAAGTTTTTATGAAGGATTGATCACCCAAATCTAAAACCTGTAGAGAATCGGAATCATCTCTGAAGTGGTCAAGGATTGTTTTGCTATTTGAAGACCACTTTCGTAAATTGAAAGAAGCGGAACCCAAAATTTTGGAAATCTGATCATATGTCCTAACAGCTGTGTCCTCGTCAGAAAAACTACTAATTAGGTCATCCACATACATGTCCCTAAGAATAACCTCACATGCATCCGGGTAATCGTTCTGAAAGTCATAGCCTAACTGCTTAATGCATCGCATAGCCAAGTATGCTGAACTTGCGCAGCCATACGTTAGAGTCAACAATTTATAGGTCAAAATAGTATCAGAGCAATTGTCCCGCCACATGATTTTCTGAAAGGGTGTGTCATCTGAATGCAAAAGAACGCAACGATACATTTTGCTTATATCTGAGGCCACTGCTATTTTGTTTTCTCTAAGTCTTAATAAAATACTTATGATGTCGTTTTGGATGGCTGGACCAGCGTATTGTATTCCATTCAATGATTTACCATTTTTTGTTGGTGCCGAGCCATCAAAAACTACTCTAAGACGAGTTGTTAAACTATCATTACGTATAACACCGTGGTGTGGTAAAAAATAGGACTTTTCCAAATCTGAGATGCTGTCTAGAGGCATATGACCCAAATCGCTATATTCATGAATAAATTTTGAATAGCTTTCTTTTAAATCAATATTTTTACGAAATCTGGACTCTAAATTTAAAAATCGCTTAATTGCTAATGACTTTGATTCACCTAAACAAGTAGGATTTTCTCTCCACTGAATCTTCACTATAAATTGACCATTGGCTGCCCTACTCGTAGAACCTTTAAAGTAATTTTCACAAATTTCATCTTCCTCGGAACGCACAACCACCTGCTTTGGTTCTTCAATAGACCAAAACCTTTGTAACTCGTCATTACTTAAATTGTTTTTAACAGCAATATTGTTTGCCAAAAAAAGACATTGCATACTTTGTTGTGTTTTGCCAATAGCGGAAGAAGAAACATTACCAGCCCCGATATAGCCAAAAACTGTGTTTTGTAGAATGGGTGCATTTTTTCCAATAGAAATTCGCCCTTCACAAAGAATGTTCCAAAACAAATTGGCTCCAATCAGCATATCAACAGGCCCACTGATATTATAGGAAGGATCAGCAAGACAAATACTTTCCGGGATTATCCAGGAAGTAGTATCAAAACTAAAGTCTGGCAAATTGCCTGTAATTTTATCAACCACAAAACACTGAATTGATGAGGAGAAATCTGAACAAGTTGAGCCAATTTCAACTTGACATTTTTTATTTAAACAGGATGAAGTGCCGTTAAGTCCAGTAACATTAATATTTGTCGTCAATAATTCTAAACCTAATTTTAGGCAAAATTGTTCTGTAATATAGCACGACTGACTTGCAGAGTCCAACACGACTCTAGCTTTCAATCTATTTCCACTTTTATCAAACACATAAATGACTGCTGTGGATAATAGGACATAATTTTTGTTCGATTTGGTTGCTAGATTAATAGAGTTGCTTGAAGAGCTACCAGAATTATTACTCAAATTAGTATTAATTGAATCTTTTAATTTTGAATCCATCATAAAAAGATTTTGAGTAACTTGCTTTGAATTTTCATTCATGTTACTTGAATTGTTATTTTCCACGTTACTAGCAGTATTTGTTTGTACATTATTTTTGTTAAAATGTAATAGAGTACTATGTTTCAATTTACAAATTTTCACAACCATAGAGCCGGCAAGTTTTAACTGACTGCCCTGTGCACAAGCAATTGAGGCATAGGCTTAATCTTTTTACTTGCTCGTAACGTTCTGAAATAGATAAGCTCAGAAAACTTTCACATAAATAGATTAAGTGATTGCCTTTACAAAAATTGCAAGATTGAGTGTTTGAGCTTGATTTATTTGCAATTAAAACCTTTGTACTATATTTGCCTTTGGCC